GCTAAGGAGCTTGCAATTCTTTGTGATGCAGAACTTGGATTGATGATCTTCTCCAGCACTGGCAAACTATATGAATTTTCTAGCACCAGGTTAGATTAAATAAATAAAAGAATAATAAACATATATAATTGTTAGATATTGAATTTAAAACTATAGATTATATGATTTTTGTACTTTTGCTTTGTTTTTTGAAATTCTAATGTTGTTTGCATGGCATAAAGATAAGCATTTCATTACAAGTGTGATATTTTCTTCATATATTTTGTTATTCAGACTTCAGATGATTAAATTTATTTATTCAAACATACAGATGGGGAATAAATTCTGCAGGATTGCAGAAAAAGTTCAAATGAATAATTTGCTAACAGAAAACCTAAGCTTGTTGTTCCAGAATCATAATTTTCTTTTGTAATTTTTTTTCCCTTTTAATATCAGCTGTTTAGTGAGTTCATGAACACAATACATGAATTAGATAAATCTCTCCTCATTAATAACTAAGTGAGTACCTTATACAACTGTCATTTCTCTTCCCCATCTCATTTTCTTGATTTATATTTTCATTATAAAATCAATTCCTTTTTCACATCCCTATTCTTCTGATCATCCATCCACATATACAATTCCTGGTAAAGCAGACGTGAATCATTACTTTTCTGATTAGTGCGTCTTGTTGAGATATTTCTTTTCATTTGCATTTGTTATAACTAATTGCTTCATTTTTTAATGCTATCAAAATATGTAAACATTAAGGTGTCATCAATGTCACAAGAAGAAAATTTAAATCTCTTAACCCCAATAAGGTTTCTTACGTACGCTTGCAATCATTGAACTCGAATCTTCAACTGTCGTTAGACCCCAAGCTAAGTCTTGAACATACTCAAAATGAGGCTTGCTAAATGCAATATCTCCTTCTAATAAATAAAGGAAATTAAAAGAATTCTTTCAAATTCTTGGCAAGTGTTTGTGGTATATGTTATCCACAAAATATCAATTAATTCATGATATTTAAAAATAAATGTCCATTAGACATGGTTTTTTGAAGGTATAAGGCCGANATAAAAAAAAAATACTTTTATAAAATTAATTTAATAAGTTCAAAAAACAATTTTTGAGTATCAAAATCTCCCTTTGACTTCTCGAATATCAAGTCAAATGGGCCCTAAATCATTTAATACACGGGTGAAAATATAAATTTCATGTTAGTTTCAAATTACGTTTTCTACATATTACTTTAGTGACGTCGTCAATATTCAACCTTCATTGAAATGTAAATTCTTCAATTCCACCTGATTTCCAGAGGTATAAACAATTTGATGTCACCTGCCTTTAAGGTGACTCGTAGGGGTAGACACATGGTCTGGTCAAGTTTGGATCGTGCTTAAAGCTTGCCTTGTACAGACATTTTGACATTCCTAATTCGATACTTATATAATCAATTAATTTTATAAATATGTCCATTTGGGGCCAAGTCCTAAGGTCAGATGAGTGCACCCGGCAGCACGGATTGTTTTCAATTGGGTGAAGCTCGATAAAAGCGAGCAAAAAATTTTCTTTTTCTATTTTTCTCTCGTTGAAGTTCACATGAGAATCCCAAAATTAGTCAAACTCGGTTTGCTCGTAGAAAAAAGTTTGATCGTCAGTTTTAAGATTTAAAGTTGTTAAATAGGAATAACATTTCTCTTTCCCTTTATAGAAATATTAAGGAGACTATCAGATTCTCTACGTGTCATTGACTAATAAGGTGACTGAGCTATCATCTTATAATAAATTATTTAATTACAGATTGGTCCTCAAAAATATCAAGTCAAATGGGCCCTAAATCATTCAATACACGGGTGAAAATATAAATTTCATGTTAGTTTCAAATTAGGTTTCTACATATTACTTTAGTGACTTAGTCAATATTCAACCTTCATTGAAATGTAAATTCTTCAATTCCACCTGATTTCCAGAGGTATAAACAATTTCATGTCCCCTGCCTTTAAGGTGACTCGTAGGGGTAGACACATGGTCTGGTCAAGCTTGGATCGTGCTTAAAGCTTGCGACATTTTGACATTCCTAACTCGATACTTATATAATCAATTAATTTTATAAATATGCTCATTTGGGGCCAAGTCCTAAGGTCAGATGAGTGCACCCGGCAGCGCGGATTGTTTTCAATTGGGTGAAGCTCGATAAAAGCGTGCAAAAAAAATTTCTTTTTCTATTTTTCTCTCGTTGAAGTTCACATGAGAATCCCAAAATTAGTCAAACTTGGTTTGCTCGTAGAAAAAAGTTTGATTTTCAGTTTTAAGATTTAAAGTTGTTAAATAGGAATAACATTTCTCTTTCCCTTTATAGAAATATTAAGGAGACTGTCAGATTCTCTACGTGTCATTGACTAATAAGGTGACTGAGCTATCATCTTATAATAAATTATTTAATTACAGATTGGTCCTCAAGTTCTTCCATTTTTCAGAAAATGACATATATTTATCCACTTACAAAAAGGGCTGGATTTTGACGTGAAGATTAGCATCCCACAAACTCTCAAATTGTTAACTTTATTAAATTTGAGCCTTTTTTTTTTTTTCATATTTCTTGAATCAGATTTGATCTAATTGTGATTTAAGATCTAATGGTGGGTTAATTTCTGTTTGGCTCTTTTGACAGAAGAAACCCTAGAAACTTTGATGGGGAGGGGAAAGATTGTGATTGAACGAATCGATAACTCGACGAGTAGGCAAGTGACTTTTTCTAAAAGGAGAAATGGGTTGCTGAAGAAAGCTAAGGAGCTTGCAATTCTTTGTGATGCAGAACTTGGATTGATGATCTTCTCCAGCACTGGCAAACTATATGAATTTTCTAGCACCAGGTTAGATTAAATAAATAAAAGAATAATAAACATATATAATTGTTAGATATTGAATTTAAAACTATAGATTATATGATTTTTGTACTTTTGCTTTGTTTTTTGAAATTCTAATGTTGTTTGCATGGCATAAAGATAAGCATTTCATTACAAGTGTGATATTTTCTTCATATATTTTGTTATTCAGACTTCAGATGATTAAATTTATTTATTCAAACATACAGATGGGGAATAAATTCTGCAGGATTGCAGAAAAAGTTCAAATGAATAATTTGCTAACAGAAAACCTAAGCTTGTTGTTCCAGAATCATAATTTTCTTTTGTAATTTTTTTTCCCTTTTAATATCAGCTGTTTAGTGAGTTCATGAACACAATACATGAATTAGATAAATCTCTCCTCATTAATAACTAAGTGAGTACCTTATACAACTGTCATTTCTCTTCCCCATCTCATTTTCTTGATTTATATTTTCATTATAAAATCAATTCCTTTTTCACATCCCTATTCTTCTGATCATCCATCCACATATACAATTCCTGGTAAAGCAGACGTGAATCATTACTTTTCTGATTAGTGCGTCTTGTTGAGATATTTCTTTTCATTTGCATTTGTTATAACTAATTGCTTCATTTTTTAATGCTATCAAAATATGTAAACATTAAGGTGTCATCAATGTCACAAGAAGAAAATTTAAATCTCTTAACCACAACAAGGTTTCTTGCGTACGCTTGCAATCATTGAACTCGAATCTTCAACTGTCGTTAGACCCCAAGCTAAGTCTTGAACATACTCAAAATGAGGCTTGCCAAATGCAATATCTCCTTCTAATAAATAAAGAAAATTAAAAGAATTCTTTCAAATTCTTGGCAAGTGTTTGTGGTATCTGTTATCCACAAAATATCAATTAATTCATGATATTTAAAAATAAATGTCCATTAGACATGGTTTTTTGAAGGTATAAGGCCGACTTCAGAAGAAACTTACTTTGACTTCCACAAAAGTTTGAATAAATTGGCTAAAAATATATTTTTAACATTAGAGGGAAAAAAAGGGTAATTGGTCCACCTGATTTAATAACTTGATGCATATGATTGTCCATCTGCCCTTTTCAATTGAAGGAAAAACACGCAATTGGAGAAAATGATGATCGCTAATAATTTTGTACATCTTTATCCTTTGTGACATGGTGATGTAATTAACGAACACCAATTTATATTTTCACTATGATCCCGATATTAATTCTTGTAATTGAAAAATAAAGTACCTAGTTCATCTCCTTGATCTTTTCAGTTAATTTGTTAAAATAAGGTCATTTCTAATGAAACGCCTCAGAATTCAGCATGCACATTGATCTGTTGTAATTCTAGACTCTTTCTGAAGGCATTGACTTTTAATTCAATTCTAAATTTAATAAATCAATCCATAGTATATCTAGCAATTTATTTGTATTTTCTTCTTTGGTTACTTCCTAAAACTTGAACTTTTGGTCCCTTAAACCACACTTTCATAATTTTTTGGAACCTTTCCCATTTAAGTATGAAAATTATATAATTTGGAACCTTGCAAAATGACAACCCTAGCTAGGTTTATAATATATTGTTTGTATTTCAAGGCATGTTAGATTTTTCCAACCCTATTAATGCTACATAACCTTTTAAATGGAGAAAATTTAAGACTAGCTTATAAGCCGATTGGGTTTGTGTAAAACGTGCTTGCATGCTTATAACCAAGTTTCAAGTAGTGATACTTACTTGAAATCACAAAATCGAGGTTGAATTACTTGCTTTTGATTCGCTTGCTTTCCACACCATCTTGCACCTGCCTCTTGGTCAGAAATTCGATCACAATGGAAGGAATTTGATAGCCACAATCCAAGAACCCAATTTGAGATGTTATCTTCTAAAAATCAAGCCTTCACCCTCATTTCTCTTTACCTCATGAATAAAATCCGATTTTTTTTTAAAGGATGAATAATGGAAATTGATGGGAGTTATTGAAGGTGGGGAGGTTAACTTTTAAATTCAATTTTTTAACTCCTCCCTCCAAAAACCATTTCCATGCAAATTGGGTCGGGTCAACCCACATGGATGACCCGTTTTCTTCCAACATCTCCCACTCGCATATGATGAGCTTGACCTGATTTTAATATAATATCAATTATATTAATTTCAACTTCTCCAAGTTCATACAGGTAAATGGATCATGCGACCAGCAAGTTAATTTAAGAGCACACAACATTATACACATGTTAGGGATATATAGCAACTCTAGAAGAGGAATTATATTTCTCGCTATACCCCAGACATATTTTGTAACACCAGTTCGAGTATTTTTGACCCCTCAATTCATTTTAGAATATACTCAACTTTCTCATTTATATTGTATTCACAATTGTGTCATGAAACTCAAATAATTAACACAATTGTCCGATCGGTGAATACAAGTTGAGGTGTTAGTTAAATAGTCTTCCTTTCCTAATTGAATCCTTTCATTTCAAGTCAGCTGCTTTCCTAGACATGTCCCATCAAATTGAATCAATCATAGTTATTGACAACATGCTAAAGTAGCAATACTGAAATAAAATTTTGAGAAACAGTCAAAAGTCATAAGGGTATATTTAAGTGAAGTCAAATGTACCTCAAAGACTCATACAATGAAGAAGCAGTGATCAATTCTTTCATTTCTCATTGGTCGTTAACGCACATGTGGTATAAAACATGTGTTACGATGTTTTCTCCCTTTCTTAGTGCTTAATCTCACAAATTAAATATATCGTACAAATCATAGTTCAGATATTCCTCGATATCTAACTTGAGTTCTCCTTGTATTCATTCCTTCTGGCATTCTCAAATCGAGAACTCGATCTGACTTAATGGATAGCAAAATCCATTTCAATTACTTGTTGTAATTTCATCTTGATACCTTATTAAGGTAATTGGATCACGTACATAACATGATCACTATCAAGGCGACGAGATCATGTACACAATATGATCACTTTGTCTCATCTCAACACATCTGAAAACGTCTGAGGTGATTTCTCGCATGAGTGAGTAAATCTCAACCCGTTCGACATACTTTATATGTGCATACAAATCACTTATCTCATAATCCCAACATTAGATTACACATGAACTCAAAATTGTTCATCTATGGGCACATAAAACTCAACCAAGAGTTTGTTTGATACACCAAGTATCATATTCTACGAAATTCTAGAGATTTCATATTATCAACAAATATATCTCTAAACATCTTCAGAGTATGGTGATTACATATCATCATTTATGTAGATATATCACAAAGACACTTTCTTTGCTAATGTCTCTCACAGAATTACCATAAATTATTTGGTTCCATCTTAATACTTGAGATCTTAACATATAAGATAGTTGCGTAACTATCATGGATCTCATATTCTCAACCAGTATAATTAGATGCTCAATACATCCATACCAAACAATTTCTTTAGCTGCCAAGATATACATTACAACATATGCACCTTGCTACTCTATGTAGCAAAAGCGCATAAGTCAAATAACTAATTATGCTCGACTAACTCTCATTCTTAGTCAACAATTGTATATCTATTCCAATCACAAGTTATTCGTTTGACAACAAAATAGAATAACTGATAGTAGCACCCTTCAGGTCTCACATACATTTTCTAAGATAATATTGATACTTACTGATTAGATCCATGGCATGACCAATGTTAGGGCAAGTACATCATAGTAGACTTCTATCTCCTAACTCTTAATCGTACTAGATATAGTATTCTGGATATTTCTTTGTGCACTTATGAAATCTTTGGATATTTATGAAGACTTATATGGTCACAGTTACAATTCCACATGAACACCCTTCAGGTCTCACATACATTTTCTAAGATAATATTGATACTTACTGATTAGATCCATGGCATGACCAATGTTAGGGCAAGTACATCATAGTAGACTTCTATCTCCTAACTCTTAATCGTACTAGATATAGTATTCTGGATATTTCTTTGTGCACTTATGAAATCTTTGGATATTTATGAAGACTTATATGGTCACAGTTACAATTCCACATGAGCATTTATAGTATAAAACTCTTATGATAGAGCAAGAACACACGAAAAGTATTCTTAGCACAAATCATACAATTTGCTAAATCCATGTTTTTATCTCAAAAATTGACGACAATCATTTCAAAATGGTCTCTATACACTCCTTATCATGCTTAGCCAATCAAATGTCATCAATAATAATATTAGAATTACAACCTACCATAAGACCTTTTCACAAATACAGTAATTTTCGCCCATATGACAAAATTCTTGTACGAAATTTAACTCTGTTAAAAACTCAAGTACGACTATCAAGCTGACTGTATTAGACCATGCATGTAACTATATATAGTTATCACAATAAAAAAAAAGCCTTTAACATGAAATTTAAAAGTCGATTCATGTTGATATCTTTAATCATTTCTCAATTGAGAATAAAAATATAATTTCTAGGTCAATTTGGTGTAACTCTAAATCTAAACATACCATTACGGCTAGCATTGATGCATAGAAGCGAATCTTATCGTTATGAAAAAAATCATCTAACTCAATATACTCACATTGAGTATAACATTTTTCAAAAATGAGCTTTATCTATCAGAAACTCATTAGTCTTCCACTTAACTTTCAAGGACCTGAATGTTCTCGGTAAATATAATGTCCGAATAGAACTTTCACCATATCCTAGATTAGGTTGAAATTCTATACTCCATATATATACTTTCATCACTTTTCTCAAAATTCATCTTCTGATTTTTTGAACCAAGAATCATTGGCATTAAATAGCTCTTAGATCCAACTCGAAATCAAGAATCATTAAATTAGATAATTCTTGGAAGGTTCCCACTCGGATAGATATCTCCCACTCAGAACAAAAAATCATTGATATTAAGTGGTTCTTAGCTCCAACTCGAAACCAAGTTTCATTGAAATTAGATAGTTCTTAGATGG